GACCTTTAAGACGGATCTTGATAAGCCCACGGTGCACCGTTTAAAGAAGTGCGCAAAGCTCCCAGTGGACCGACCTGTGGGACCCGCTCCAGAGCCCCCAGATTACCAGGACCTGGTGGATAATCTAGAAGGCCTCCTGCAGCCCCTTCAGGTTCCTGAAGGTTATCGACTTAAGGTCTAGACGCTAACTACCAAACTTGGTGCGAAAGGTCTTGGGGGGAGCTACAGGGGCCTCTGCAATGCCACCCGCATGGAGGCCGCGGAGGTAGCCCGTACTGCACTCAGGAGATCCCTTTCGGCGAGTTACTTTGCACCAAGAGGCCCCCTTACCAGGAGCCCTTATCGTGCGATGCATTGGTTGCATCAGAGGACCCGCGAGTTGTACTGTCTGCTCAGGAGTGGTAAATATTTGGAACTATCAGATTATTGCAGGCTTGGTTCGCTCGACCTGGTCAGCGACTAGGACAGGAGGTATTTTCAAGTATCATATCCCTGGCTGCCTAGATCTGTGGACTAGCCTGCCCCGCGAAGCGGTCGATCCATTGCGGGCCCCAGGTGAAGTTGAGCATCTGGAGATTCGAGCTGGGCCACCCCTTGCCCTACAGCACCTTGCATCCTATATGTCCCCCATCTTCCTCCCCCGAGAAAAACATGAGAGAGCACAGAAATGGAGAGAGACTGGTGCTCGGAGGCTTTGTCTGGCGGAGCGAAGTGGGCCCATGCCTACACCAAGGTGGCTGCCAACAAGCGCCAGGCCATGCCCCCGACAGACGGACGATGGCATGCACACATCTTGTCTCGCCAGCCAGCTTTCGGATGAGGTCCAGAAATGGAGGAAGGCTCGGGGGGAGGATCAGAAGGAGGAGAACGAGGAGATTGAGTGGCCCCAGGACATGATCATTCCGAAACCGCCAGATGCAGAAGAAATCATGGTTGTGAGCAAGAGTTTCAAACGATCGACGATTGCAGCAGACGGCTTTCATCCTCGCCATTAACATCTTTTAAGCCCACCTGCCCTTATTGATTTCAGTCTGGTCATGGGCCTCTTGACCGTGCTCGGCTCCACGCCGAGCTGGATGCACAAGCTTGTCGTGGCTCTCTTCCAGAAGCCCGTTTCAGGCAGGCGTCCGATTGGATTCTTTCAGAGCCTAATCAGAATGACATCGCGTTGGCATTCGAGGCGCTGCAAAGAGTGGGAGAAGAAAGTGCCCGATCAAGGTGCGTTTTCCATGGCCCCAGGTCGCAGCGCAGTTGACACCGTTTGGAGGCAACAGATACGCGGAGATCTAGCTGTGGCAAATCGTCAAGAGGCTTTAACAGTACTAGGGGATCTTAAGCAGTGTTATGAACATGTACAGCACCCGCAACATAGTCCGAGCTTGCACGGACTGGCAATATCCCCTATTCACGGTCCGTTTCGTTATTCATACTTATCGGTGGGCTAGGGTACTCAGTATGGAGGGGGTGGTGTCGGAGGAGTTGGTACCTGGGGAGGGAATCATAGCTGGGAGTAGCACAGCGACGTTTGGAATAAAATGTTACTGCATACCCACTGTAAATCGGCTCCAGGAGCTCAGGTTCGCACCTACCTTAGCTGTACACATAGACGACTTCTCGCTGAACATGTATGATAGTTATATACACAGTTGCGTTAGATATATGGCCCTGGATATGGCGTTCTTGGTAGAGCAGCTGTCCTCCCTCTTCAACCTGCGCTTTGCCTTTAACAAGTTTGCGATGACTGGCGCCAGCGCTGAGCTTGTGGAGCTCGCGCAGAGTCAGCTGGGACAGTACGCAGGTGAGTTTAACCACTCCATCATCAACTTGGGAGTGGACTTTGCGCCTGGGAAGTCCAAGACCAGACCCCAGGCTAAGGCTAAACGGAAGGAGAGGTGGAGGAAAGGGAGGCCCCGTCTTGCCAAGATGCGTAGCCTGAAAAATCCGAAACGATCCAGGGCCAAGGTTTGGTTCTGCGGGGCCAAGCCTGCGACAACGCACGGCGAAGAGGTTGCGCGGTGGACGCCCCGAGAGATCAGGAAGCTCAGGTCGCAAGCTGCTGGCTTTTTAGGTCTCACCACCTGCGGGGCGGACCTCAACCTCGCCTTTGCCTTGGAGCCCAGCGAGGACCCGATCAAACATGCAGGCGCGACCCTAACCCGTTTTGCGAAGGAGTTCTGGTTAGCCACGGACGGGAAATTTGGACCTGGGGATTGCGTTGCCGTTGGGGACCTGGTCAAGCTGGCCCATGAGGTTCACCGTTTTCAGGAACGTCGTCCGAATGCTTCCTGGGATTGTTTGGCGTGGGGCCCTGTCGGGGATATGCTGCAATGGATATCCAGAGCTGGATGGTCTATCCGCGGACCTGGGATTATTACCATGCGGGATGGGGCCCCCTGTGTGCTTTCAGATATACCGTATGTTTCCGTTTTAAAGTATTTCGTCAGGGACCTAGGTGAGGAGTTCGTGCAGCAGTGTATGCAGCGTAGGCTGAAAGACTGTGAACACGAGCGTGATGTCGAGATTTTGGAGCGCGGCCTCTGGGTGGAACCCCCATCGGTCCTTCTGGAACTCTCAGCGCCAGAGCAAGCTCCAAAAACGTGTCATCAAGCAAGTGTTCACACGGTCTTATGTGACGGCCAGTCACCTACACAAGTGGGGCCACCAGCTTGAGCCGCTTTGCCCGCTGTGCCGCGACGGCGCGCACGGCGCCATCGACGGAGTCTGGCACAGGTGCTTTGAATGCCCAGCTCTGGCAGATCGCCGAGCAGAGCATCCCCCAGCAGAATGGGCAGCAGCAGGACTGGAGGCAGGACCAGAGGATCCGTTTTTTCAGTTCTCTGTGGCTCCCTGTGCCGAACGACCTGCAGGAACCGACCTGGGGCGGTCAGATATTTTTCGCGGGCCCTGACGGGCCCGTCGAACCCTTTCGATTCAACAAGAACGAGTATCTTTACAGTGATGGGTCCTGTTATGAAGGTACCTACGACATGGTTTCCAGAGCTGGATGGGGTTTCGGTTCTGTCAATGAGGAGGGAGGATTTACCAGAGGCATCTATGGTAACGTTCCTGGTTTCCTCCCCCAGAGTTCTTTGGTGAAGTTTATGCGCTCCGGTCTGGCCTCACGCACCTCGAGCCAGATCAGGAGGACGACCCTGACGGGGCCGAGTATTTGATTCACATCGATTGCGAAGCGTTACTAGGAGGATATCGTGATCCTTGGAAGGCTATTTCAGGTGCCAGTCCGCTGTCAGAAGTATGGCGTGCCCTCGACCGTTCAGTTCTTCCCCAGTGGAGTCTGAAAAAAGTCAAGGCCCATGTGAAAGGAGAGCTCACGGGAGTTGCCCTGCGACACCAGCGAGGCAATGACAAAGCCGATGAGCTAGCTAAAGATGGAGGAAAATGTCATCATCGAGAGGTCCTTAATGCCATTAACAAATACGAGGCGTGTCTGGCAGGCTGGGAGGAAGTGGCAGTAGGTATGGCCAATATTCTCCTTGAGATCCCGAAAGCTAAAGTTCTCTTCGGTGATTTAGCCCGCAATCCGTCCATCCCGAGGCCGAAGGCTGTCTCCAGCGGTCGCCCCCACCGTGTGCTCTGGACTGGGTTAGCGTGGAGGTGCGTCCAATGCGCTCGCACCTTCGGCAACCAGCGACCCAAGAGCCCGTGCGCCGCCTTGACCCCCAGCCTCAGGCAGGTGGTGGAGTTGGTAGTCTCTCCCCCACACAAATTGCACGTGTGCCGCATTGTAGAGACGAATCTACCTTTAGTGTTTTGTTCTCGTTGCGGGGCCTATACTTCGGGCCTTCCCCGTAAGATAGGAGAGCCCTGCAACAAAATCTTCAAGCAACAGAGGTTTCAGATCATGAATGGCAAGTGCCCATGGCCTAAGGGCCTGCACTTGACGCGTCCTTGGCCCCTGGCTCGCCCAGAAAAGGACCCTGGAGGCGAGTGGTGGGGCAAGATGCGCTACCTCTAATTATTTGTTAATCTTCTTCGCGTTTCTTTTCCCACAGCCCTTATCGATCATGGATTGGAAGGAGCAATGAGAGAGCCACTGGGAAAGGAGGAGGAGGAGGAGGAGGGGAGGAGGAGGAGGAGGAGGAAGAGGAGGAGGAGGAGGACGAGGCGGAGGCGGAGGCGGAGGCGGCGGAGGCGGAGGAGGGGGGAAGCAGGGGAGCCGAGGGTGTGGAGGAGAAGAGGACGAAGGGAGAATGAGGAGGACGATGAGGGCGGCGAGAGGAAAGGGCGCGGCGTGAAGGAGGGAGGTGACCCCTCTTTGCCCCTGGAGGCTGGAGGCACTGGTAGGCTCAGCGAAGCCAACGACGCCCCTAAGCCCAACAGCTGTAGAGCTGGCTCCGCCGCCGAATTCGAGACGACATGACGGTCTGGGGCTGAGTCTCATCTCTTCCGGTCACCCCTCCTCTAACAGCTCTCTCTGGCCCCCAGAACGGACAAGCATCCAGAATCCTCCCCTCGGATCGCGATCACCAGGCCCATTCCCCATCTTCCCAGGATCCCCTAGAACCTCAGGGCCTTCCCTGGAACTCTAGGATATTCTGGAACCGCGTCATCCTTTCTCGTCGTCCTGCTCTTCCTCTAATTCTCCTCCACCTTCGACGTGTCGCGTTCGATCCGCGATTCGAGTTGAACGATGGCATGCCTTAGCCCTCGCGGTGCTTGCCTGCACCGCGTCTGTCGCACCATGCTTGCATTGCTCTGTCTGCGGACGAGTGGACCAACGGGTCCAGCGACAGGCATACAATCGGTGCCCTGAAGAAGGAATCCTTTTGGTTGGGGAGGGGTTCCGTGTTCCTTAATAGGTTGACAGCTTGCCTCAGGTTATCCGTATGTTTTCGATGGGAAATCGAAGTTTATTTTCTCGAGAAAAGGGGCCTCGTTCCTTATTTATCGTTCCTGAACTGCCTCGCTGTCGACGTGCTGCTGCTCACCCCCCTCCGCGCATCCTGCGAGACGCTTGGGCGCGGCGACGGCGGGCAGAGGTGATAGCTGACGTGAAGGTCTTCCACTTCAGCGGGACCAAGATGCATCCGTGGTGGGATGGGGGAGGGAGGCCAGATGATGGGGGAGGAGGATATCAGGAGGGGAAAAAACACACACAGACACAATTAATCGTCGATCCCCCAGAAAATATGGGAAAATATGGGAAGTGGGGGGAAAGACAACAACCCAGAAAATATTGGAAAATATGGGGAATCCTTTTATTTGTGTGTATTTTTTTGTGTGTCCTGGGGCCCCTTCAGGATAGATGATATTATCAAGGTCGTTGGGCCTCCAGGTGTCTCCAGAGGCCTCCGAGGAGCTTTCTTGGGAATGTGGAAGACCTCCAGGGGAAAGAGGGAGGGGAGGCAGAACCGAGCGAGGCGGAGGGTGGAGGTGAAGAGTAAAGAAGCGTGGGGCGCAGTAGGAGGTGGGACAAGGGAAGAGGGAAGTGAATGGCGGAGGAGGAAGGAGCATGGAGGGAGGAGGAAGGAGGGTGAGGAATAAGAGGCGAGAGGTAGGGTAGGAGGCGGAGGGAGAGGATTCGGGGGAGAGCCTCCCCGATCCTCGACCATCCTGGATCTTCCTCGATCTGGGAGCTTTAATCATCGATCCTTATCTCGAGGAAGCGCAAACATGAATTAAGGCGTGTGGGTTAGCGACGGGCCTTGTTTCGGTACAGAATCGGCGCCATGTCGCCAGATCAGGTGGCACTGGCATCATGTGTCCGGTCGTACCCTCCCCGATTTGTAGATGTGGCGCGCACCCGCCAGACCCACAGATCCGTAATCCATGTCAGCGTGTGCCCGATTCGAGTCCGCGGCCAGCGTACCTGCTCCTGCACATCCACTTCGGCACCGCCTGCACCCTGGGCCCCGCCCGCTCCGGCCGCCCGAGGCCCCGCCTTCATGTGCCTTGTTTCCCTAATTAAAGCTGTGCGTAGCCCGCCTAGCTTTTAGCGGAAGAGGTTCGTTCTCGCCCCGCAGATCAAAAGCGTGTGCCCGACTCGAAGGGCGAGGAGGGAGCGGGCTCGGCGGCGAGCGGGGACGTGGGGGATGGCGCTGGAGTGAGCGCGTGCTGAGCGGTGAGGCGGCAGGCCTGTCGCATGAGAGTGCCGCGAGACGGTGGGAGGGTGTGCGGGAGGAGGAGGAGGAGGAGGCGCAGGAGGAAGAGGAGGAGGAGGAGGATATCAGCCTGGCTGTCGTATACTCTCTACCCTTTTCTGGGCCCGCTGTCTTTAGCAGATCGCGCCGATCTTGCTTCCTGCTGCGGCTGCCAGGCGTACTCTGTTGGCCCCGAAACCTCAGTCGGCTCGTGCTCTTTTTCCACACGGGCGCTGCAGCCACGACGCTCAAGTTCGCCCCCCGGCAGAGAAGGAGGAGTACATCGATGGTCCTGGATGCGAAGACCAGGCTTGGGCGGCGCACTGGACCTCGCGAGGATCCACCACACGCGCAACCCGGCCTAGCCCCACGCGGCAAGGGGGGCGGACCCGGGGCGGGGCGAGCGGCGGGCCAGCGGGTGCGGCTGGCGCCCTTTCGACGTCCGCCGCGCGCGCGGGCGCGGCACGGTCCGCTCGCGCCCGCCCCGCTCGCTCCGTCCTCTCGCCCCCTCTTCGGGGGTGGGCAGACCTCCTACCCCTCAAGGGCATAAAAAAACGCCCCTACCCTGGTTTACGAGGCGCTGTGCGCTGAAACCCCTGTGGGCTGACAGGGTAAACCCTGCGTGATGTGCCGCGTCCTGGCGGCTCTGGGCTTTGGGGGTTCCCAGGAGGCTTACAGACCACGCACTTGTGACCCAGGGTGGGGTCGTTTTTGTCATCCCTCAAACCCTGACGCGTCGATGAAGGAATTGGCCGTTTTCGGTTCGTGAAGGGGGCGTCGCGGCCGTCCTTTCGGCGGGTCCAGGTCCGCCGGTTTCGGTCCTGGGCCGTGTTCACCGAGGGGATGTTTACTAAATCAGAGCGTGAATTACCTACCCCGCTTTCGCTTCCAGGCAAAACCAAGTCATACCACGCGCCTCCTCGTCAAGCGGCCTGACCAGTACAGGCCGTAGTTTGGCATCGTTTGGTATCTCTTGGAAGCGAGGGTGGTCAAAAGCGAGGTAGGTTTGTTTTCCCCCTACTAAAGGGATGTTTGTCCACCGCCGGCCGCCGACCCTGTTCTCCCCCAGGCATGACCAAGGAAGCAAGCTTCGCGCCAGGCGAGGAAGCTTCTGAGCCCCAGACCTGGACGCATGGCCTGGGCATGGCGTGGCCGAGTCGACCAGATGATGGGTACACCTCAGGCGATGCTTAAGAAAACCTAAGTTTTCGTCCAGAGTCTCGATTATTCTTAACTTTTCAATGTAAATCCCAAGATTTTAATAGAAGTTCGGGGTTTTTATTCAAATTCGCAGACTCTGAATTTCTTAACCCATGATTTCTTGAGCATTTCGCAGGGTGTACTGTCAACACCGCGACACAATCACCAGAGCACGTGGAGACCAGGATGAAACGCGACCTGGTGTGCTTCTCAAGCAAACAGTGGTTGCGGGCTGAAAAAAAGGCCCCCGTCCATTCCATCTTGTGACAAGGGGTCTGCAAGAACTGGCGGGCGTGGTGCTCCGCCGCCCACCAACCACACGAAGAGCACTGCGAAACATCGCCACACAACATTGGGCACGTGTACTGAGTGCTCGCAGCAGCTTTCACCTGTTTCTGTCTCGCAGTCGTTCTCACGCGAACAGTTGGCGGCCTCGCAGGATGAGGGCCTCCTTTCTCGATCACATCAGTCATGCCACCAAGCAAAAGTATATGGCACCGCTGGGTCATGGCATCGGCAAAGCCTACCCGGCCCGACACTCCAAACGGGATTTCGACCTTCATCGCACAGTGCCACGTGATGTGACCGGCGACCGAACCCGCGGCAAAGAACCCCCGAGCCACGCCCTGAGCAAAAACCTCCTCGGCAGTGAGATGCGAGGGAGCGTGAACCAGGACAATCTCACGCTCCTGGGCCAGGGGCGCACTGCACTTCCACAGATCAGGACGCGAGAGGTAATCGTATACTTTCATCCTGTCTGCACCTTCGCAAACCCTTTCCCAAGTAAGACGAATCGGCCACATGGGTAAGACGAGGTCCTTGCTGGGAGGTCTCCAAGAACCTGAGGACGGCCCAGAGCCCCCACGGTTGACCGACTGCTTTCCCGAGATGTGTTTTCCGGCCACAAAACGGAGTTGCAGCTCGAGGTCTGAAGATGCGAGAACGTCTTAATGGGAATCCGCGACGCCACGCGAGACCCTCCCGAGTTTTTTTTTTTTTCCAGCGCCACCGCCTGTCTCCCCGGCATCCCAGAGGCGGCCCCCCTGACAAGGGGGAAGCATCAATGCGGCACACGAGGCGGGCTCGTCGGGGGGGGGGGGGGCGGCACGCGGGCCCACGTCTTGGGGGCAAGGTTACGTCGGGTCTGTCCTGCTACAGGGGGAATCTGTGTATATATATATATATATATATATGTACATATATATATACACACAAGTGGCACGTGTGTGCCCAGGCTCATACAAAAAACTGAAGGGGCGTCTGAAGCAGGAGTGAAATGCAACATCGAAGTCGCACTCGAGCGCAAGTGGGGTTGCCACACCTTGCGATGTGTGTACCAGGGCCCCCCCCCCAGGAAGCCTCAGGAGGCCCGACTTGGATACCCGAAGAGGCTCCAGGAGGCCCCAGGATTGTGAGTGTTGTGCGTGTGTGTGTGTGTGTGTGATGTATGCTTTGTGTGGTGCGTGCTTTTTGTTTGTTGTAGGTGTTGTGTGTGTGTGTTATGTTTGTCTAGCGTGTGATGTGTTGGGCGTGATTTGTGTCTCTGTGTGCATGTAGTTCTGAAGCCCCAGGAGGCCCCAGGAGGCCCCAGGCGGCCTCAGGAGGCCCCAGGAGACCCCAGGAGGCTTCAGGAGGCCCCAAGAGGCTCCAGGAGGCAGCAGGAGGCCCCAGGATGCCCCAGGAGGTTTCAGGACACCCCCAGGAGGCTCCGAGGCAGGGTCTGGGGTGCCAGAAGGTTCAGAAAGCCCCAGGAGGCCCCAGGAGATTCCAGGAGGCCCCCATGAGGCTCCGAGGCGGGGTCTGGGGCTCAATGTTGGAAGCATTTTTCAAGCGAAACCGCCATTCCCTGAGAATCGGGGTCACAATTATTGAAATTACCATGTGTTCTTGAAGGTTGTATGTGAACATGTTGAAATTCCCATGTGTTTTTGGACCCTGACGTCACGATCTGCGCGAGGGGTGCCACCGATTTTCAGAATTTCGAGGATGTCCCGAGCGAAACGCCCAGACAAATCGCGGACGCGTGCGCATTAATCGCCTCTGAGCTCTACTCCCTCGGAGAGGTGCGTATGAGAATATTATATATATATATATATATATATATATATATATAGATAGAAAGTAAACCAATAGTCTGGGGACTATGCTTGACAACGTTGGAGCATTTCTATGGCGTTGCTTGGGCATTGTTTCATTTTTCGTCCACAATCGGCTTGTAGGGGGACAGGCCCGCCTCAAGGGCAAGGCCGCGGAGCCAGGAGATTGGGGCATCGGAAACCGCATTGACCCCTCGCCTCGCGGAAGCATCCAAAACCTCTTGGAATCCCCGGGTTCGCAGGGCGCTGGTGCAACCAATGGACGCCCGCTTCAGGCGCTAACCCGCATTTGGGACAATCCTCTGAACATTCGCGTCCAACATGGAGGCTATAGCACGAGACCAAGTGCCACTTGTTAGGATGGTGCGCAAAAGGCATGCTTCCTTAAGGGAAACGCGCCCTCCGCCCCAGCCCCGCCCTCCGCCCCAGCCCCGCCCCTGAATTGGGGGACGGTAGCCCAAGATTTAGATTTGATTGAAACGGCGACTTCTCTTTTGAAGTCAGAATTCATGACAACGCGAGAGCGGATCTCAACAGGCACGGCGAAAAGATCTGCACCAGAAGCTGCCCACCGCAAGGGCCCTCGAGCTTCGCCCTAAAGCGAGCAGAGTGGCTGCCACGGCCAACGCAGGAGGACCTCTCGATGTTGCGCCACC